CCACAATGCACAACTTTTGTTCTAGAATTTGCATTAAAAAAATGAACGTGCGCCTTATGGTCTGGTGCACACACACATATATATACATATACACTCACAGGCCACTTAATTAGGTACGCCTTGCTAGAACCTGGTTGAACCCCCTTTTACCTTCAGAACTGCCTCAATCCTTCGTGGCAGAGATTCGACAAGGTACTGGACATATTCCTCAGAGAGTCTGGTCCATATTGACATGATAGCATCACAAAAACACACAAAAAAAGAGAACGAGGCAGAGGTTCACCTTCCATCAGGACTACGACACTAAAAAATCTAGCCAGAGCTACCACATTTAAAATCAAAGCGTGTGTTAGACCTGCTCAGTCAAAATCCAGACCTAAATCTGGAAATCAATTTTCAGATTTGCATTTAAAAACGTGTTTCTAAAACGGTTTTATTATTTTTCTACTACTTCCCAGTTATGTTGGTTTATTGTATAAAGTCCCAGTAAAATGCTTTAAAGGTTTGTGGTTATAAGGTGGCAGAATGTGGAAAAGTTCATATGTATGAATACCTTTTTTGTTAATAATATTTTTTCCACAGCCTGAATTTCTCCATTGAAAGCATAAGACAGAAATTGAAAGCCAGCCCAGTCGTGCTGCAGATTCCTGTTGGCAGCAGTAAGAACTTCACAAGTGTGGTTGACCTGTTAACCAATCAGAAGCTGATATGGAAGTTGAGGTCTGCAGACGATGATGGATGAGTGTTTGAATCGAAGGCTCTTAGCCAGTCTGATGATCCAGAACTCCTGCAGGCAGCGGGTGAAGCCAGGACAGCTCTGATTGAGCAGGTTGCTGATCTAGATGATGAATTTGCTGAGCTGCTTCTGACCAGTTTTAGTGATAATTTCGATGCGGTTCCTTCCATCAAGCTACAAGCGGCCGTGCGGCGGCTCACTCTGGCCCGTAAAGGAGTTCCCGTGCTCTGTGGTAGCTCTCTAAGAAACAAAGGTGTTCAGCCTCTTTTAGATGCCATCACTGCGTTCCTGCCTGCACCGAACGAATGCCACCATGACCTGGTGAGGTGGTACAAAGATGATTTGTGTGCGCTGGCCTTGGTTCTCCATGACAAACAGCACAGCCCTCTGGTTTTCCTCAGCATATACTCGGGTACTCTGAAAGCCCAGACCGCCGTCCACAACCTGAACAGGAACAACACTGAGAGGATGAGTTGACTGCTGGTACCATTCGCAGATCAGCACGTAGAAATCCCTTCAATGAGTGCTGGAAACATTGCACTAACTGTAGGACTGAAGCAGACAGTTACAGGAGACACCATTGTTTCATCCAAAGCATCAGCAGCAGCTGCAGCTCTCAGAGCCCAAAATGAGAGTCAGACAGGGAAAAGTTGTGGAGAACACGCTAACATCATCCTGTCCGGAGTGGAAGTCCCCGATCCTGTCTTTTTCTGCACCATAGAACCTCCCACCATGGCCAAACAGGCTGATCTGGAGAATGCCCTCAATTGCCTCCAGAGGGAAGACCCCAGTCTAAAAGTCCAAGTTGACCCTGATTCTGGTCAGACCATCCTGTGTGGGATGGGAGAACTGCACATTGAGATCATCCACGATCGAATAAGAAGAGAGTATGGTGTCGAGACCTACCTCGGTCTACTGCAGTTAGCCTACAGAGAGACCATTCTTCACGAGGCATCGACTACAGAAACTCTGGATCGGGCAGTGGGAGAAAGACGGCACATTGTGACGGTTGAGCTCATGGTCAGACCTGCAGATGGCTCTTCATGTGACTCAGCTTTTACAGAGGAGTTACAGACACAGCTGTCAGCAGAAATAAAAGAGGTAGTGCAGAATGGAGTACACAGCTCATGCCTTCAAGGCCCTCTGCTGGGATATCCTGTACAGGACGTGTCCACACTGATCCAAAGTCTGACCATGGAAACTGGGACATCTCCTGCCATGGTGTCTGCCTGTGTGTCTCGCTGCATGTCAAAGGCACTGAAGCTGGCAGGAGTCCAGGTCCTGGAGCCAGTGATGTCCCCCGAGGTGACTGTGGATGAGGAGCTCCTCAGCTTTGTGCTGGGGGACTTGGCCCAAAGACAAGGGATGGTTCGAGAGATACAGAGCCGCCATGACAGCAAGGTGTTGCTGGCCACGGTGCCGCTTGCGGAGATGATGGGCTACTCAACCACGCTGCGAACTTTGACCTCTGGCAATGCCACCTTTTCACTGGAGCTGGACACCTATGAGGCCATGAACCCCCAGGACCAGAACTCTCTGCTGAAAAAGATGTCTGGTCTGCTGTGATCCTGACAAGCTGCTGAGGCTGGGACTGATTATCAGGCCTCTGATGAACACTCTGAGGGTGTGAGCTCAGATCTGTTATGGTCAATTAGCAGACATTTCATTCCTGTACCATCAAAAGGTGAGAAATCACGCAATTCCCTGAGCATGGATGGTTAAATTTGGTCAGTTTAACAGGTATTATGCCAAAATTTGATGTGGAAGTTGAGTCCTCCCTAATACTCTGACCTCAACTTAAAAATGAAAACATTAAAAACCAAAAAAAGAAGACATGATAGCATCACACAGTTGCTGCAGATTTGTTGGCTGCACATCTTTGATGTGAATCTCCCGTTCCACCACATCATAAAGATGCTCTATTGGATTGAGATCTGGTGACTGTGGAGCCATTCCAGTACAGTGAACTCATTGTTGTGTTCAAGAAACCAGTCTGATATGATAGTTGAACTGTCTTGGTCATGTCTACATGTCTAATTGCACTGAGTCGCTGCCATGTGATTGGCTGATTCAACATTTGTATTAATGAGCAGTTGGACAGGTGTACCTAAGTGGCCGGTGAGTGTGTACAAACAGTAGCCTAAGCAGAGAGACTCAGACTTCCCTCTCCCCAGCTACTTATGCCAGCTCTGCAGGGAGGTGTAAAAAGGAATGGAAAGCCAAGACACCAGCTGAACTCTCTCAGTAAATAGAAAGCAAGCCTGTCCCTTGTCAATGCAAGTTAATATCAGCTGGTTCAGTCCCAAATGATGGCCAGGTATCACACAAGAACCATCTGATGATGGGTAAAAGTAAAGAGCTGCCTCAAGACCTTCACAACCTTATTGTTGCAAAGCATAATGATGGCATCGGTTACAGAAGAATGTCTAAACTTCTGAAGGTTCCAGTGAGCACTGTTGGGGC